GAGAGAGAGAGAGAGAGAGAGAGAGAGAGAGAGAGAGAGAGAGAGAGAGAGAGAGAGAGAGAGATCTGCGAGGCAACTCAGCTGCATCAAGCCTCAACTTGTTGACTGTGTTTTATCAATAACTTGACGAGGTGTTTATGATGCCTGTGTTTGTTTTAGCTTCTAAGTTCTAAGGCAATGACAACGTTTCACTTCCTGTCTCAGACACGTGGAGGTGTTCCAGTGTGGCTTGGAAATATGCAAAGTGTCCTGTCTGGAGTCTAAATCATGAACCCTTTGTCAGAGAGAGAGCGAGAGAGAGAGAGAGAGAGAGAGAGAGAGAGAGAGAGAGAGAGAGAGAGGGAGAGAGAGAGAGAGAGAGAGAGACGGACAGATCCGCAAGGCAACTCAGCTGCAGCAGGCCTCAACTTGTTGACTGCATTTTATCAATAACTTGATGAGGGGCTTAGGATGCCTCTGTTTGTTTAGCTTCTACAACGTTTCACTCTTTTGATGTATGTGTTTACAGGTCAACCATTGCTTGGAGCATCTGTTGGGTTATTTGTTGTCCTCGTACTTCTTGCTGGATATGCCTTCTTGGTAAGTCTCTCCATCTCGATATATCTGTGTTTCTTTACTCTCTCTCCCTTACACTCACACATGCGCGTAATGCATGTATGTGATTGATCTCTCTATATCCAGTTTGTTTTGGTTGTCTAATGTAGAAAAATCCAGTCTGTTGCTCTCTTTTCTCATGGTTTTTGGATCTCCCCCTCTCACCTCCACTCCACCTGTCTCTCTCGCTCCGGGGCAGCCGACGGCTCCCCACCCTTTGGCATCCCATCTTCCCGTCTCTTTGTCTGGAAATCCTCACTCCTGTAGTATTTGGTCCTTCACCATGTCTTGCATTACTGTTCTCAGTCTGTGTCCATGTCAAGTTGTTCAAGGACAGTCCTAGAAGTGGAACTCAGATCCCTGACCTCACATGACAATCAAATGAGATGACATCGTGAGTTTCTGAAGGCAAGCTCTGTGTCAGCATTTCTGGGGTTTGGCAAGGAGTTTAAGCGTCAATGTCATTTGTTACGAAGCTGATGAACCATCGATTTCTTCTCTTTGTAACTGCTGCTTTCACCTGGACACCTTCGATTTGCAGCTCTACCAAAGAACGGGGAGTGCTGTTCCTTCAGATTCCTTTTGGGGGCCTCTTCTCCCTCTTTTTCCTATAGCTGAGTGTGTCTTTCATAGGATAGTCAGCGTTGTTCAGGGGAGTTGTATTGCTGTATTCTTCTTTACTTTTTACCTCATGTAATGTCATGGCTGTTCTTTTCTTATTTTAGTTTAAAGTTTAAACTAAGCTATATTCTTCACTCATATGCCTCACATTACATATCCTGTTATGTAAGTCCAGTTTCCAAATGGTTGCAGTTATGGGTTAACTCTCCCTAATGAATCCCAGCATTCTTGTTCTGCTCAACTCTGCTCTATGCGGGGAGCAGTACCCTGGCTCCTAACACCTGGCACGAGTTGGAAAATATCCTTTCTGCTTCCACGACCGGCCAGGAGGCCGAAGCCAATTCTCTCCTCTGGTGAACCCAAAGCATATCACAGAGGGTCGTGGGGGATCGGATGGACGACGTGGGAATCGAATCCACAGCCTCCTGAATGCCACTTACGTGCTCAACCAACTGAATGTCATGGCTGTTCTTTTTTTTTTTTTTTTTTTAAACAGAACCTTTTGGCTCTGGCTCCTGCCATTCTGTGGAGCGGCAGTCCGGTTCCTTTCCCCCGGCAAGTCAATAATAGATACATAAGAAACTCACGCATGCTCCTCCCCATTATGGCTGGGAGGCCCGAGTGGACGACATTGATTACTTCCATAAGGAAGGATGTACCATCCCGCACCCCTGCTTGAGTAAGCCTGGGCTTTTATTCCTTCCATCATCCCTGTGATCCCAGTTGGACTCCTCTCAGTATTATAACTGTCACTTAATTGTGTTCTAACTAGAGAAGCCCGGGACCCCTCCCGAAATCTGTCTCCTCAATCCCTGTTTGCATTGCTCTTACCTAAACCTTAAACCCTGAACCCTAAACCCTCAGCTGTAATGCTGACATGATTTTGATGTACTACCTCAGAAAGTCTGACGCACTCACGTTGCTCCATATTGTCAAACCAGTGACAGACTACTCTGGATCCTTCGATTGTTGCTATCTTACCCTTAACCAACGTAACCTGTTGAAACGTTTTGAATGTCTCCCGTGCTTTCTCCGGGTTTTGTCGAGCTTGCCTTCTTGCTCTTTGCCATTGTGCCATGATATCCGTCTCCAACAGATTGTGTAGAACTTTCTTGGCCTCCAGTCTGTGCATTTGCTCCCTCCCTATTGTCATCTGACATCTTCTTTTCCATATGGTCCATAATGTATATTGTCTCAAAAGTTGAAATCCTCGTTTTTGTCCCAGTTGCCATTTCTTTTGAAGCTCCATACCGGTGAGGAGGATCCTCCTGTCTTCCGGAAAGGCCTCATCTGAAATCTTTTGCCACAGTTCCCTGGCTACTTCCCACACATAGGCCGCCTCTGGGCATTGCAGCAGGCAATGAAGCAGGGTTTCCATCTCTTCATCAGCACACAGATTGCACTTCTGGTTGATCTGATCCCTCCGATTGTGGCCTCGGCGCTCATACAGCCAAGCGTTGATAGGGAGCACCACATGGAAAATCAGCCATTGTAGACTTTTGACCCTGCCTAACCTTATAATACTCAATGCTGACCACGGAAGACTAGAGACTTGCGCCTTGGGTACTTCCAACCTCCGTTCGCATCGAATAGCCAGTGATTCTGCCAGTGGGTGAGACCTCCTTCTGAGCCTGTACCCCAATTTGGTTGTATATTGAAGTATGTTTACTCTTCTGGCAACCCTCATAAAACCTCCCTTGAGATTCCATGCCCATTCTGCCAGGTCTACTTCTAAATCTTCTAGAGGCGTGGTTGGAGCATAAATCATATAGATGTTTGTCTCCACTACTCTTGACCTTACGTACTGTTTTTTTTAAGATTGTAATCGGAGCGTAAGATGTCTTATCTAATTGACTGGTGGTGGTCCCTACTTCTATTGATAACATATCAACCAACAACCATCCGTCCCCCGGGCCCTTCTTACCCCTTATTCTAAAAGCAACTTCCGGTTTATCCTCGTGCAACCACGTGGCCCAATCACCCTTTTCCCAATTCAACCCCTTCTCTAGCAGGTTTACCCATGCTGGTGGTATGGAGATAAGAACATCAATCGGATTCTCTAGCAATTTGTGGGTACCCTTCATCTCGTTCCGAAGATGTCTTGCCGTCTTCCATCGCTGTTTGTCTTCTGACCATAAATGTCTAACCTGCCAGACTCCATGTTCCACTCATGTTCCCCATTTAGAATCTCTTGCTGTCAGGGTACGCGGCTTCCTTGGGGATCCTTGATCCATGGATTGTAAAAATGTGGTTGACGGAGAACCTCCTCTCTGCTCCTAGGTTCTCTTACTCTTGCTGGGAAAATGTCTCCCCAAAGCCTGAGGAGTTGTGCCCAATAAGAGCCATCGCTCTTGTCAGTTGCCCTAGGTGTCCGTTCACCTTCGCTCCTACCTTTCTTTGCCTAACCTTTGCGCATCACCCAAAACAGCCCTGTCATATTGGCCATGTCATATTGGCCGGTGTTTTGTACTTAACCAGTCTTCTAATGTGCTCTAATGCTAGAGAAACCGAAGGTAGCTGAGGATAGGTGATAAGCTTCATAACCCACTTCGTTTGCAACGCCTTCATCTGCTGCCCTGTGTCTAATATGCCCAATCCCCCTTGCTCTTTTGGCTTGATTACATGCTTCCAGGCTACCTGAGATATGACATTCTGTTTACTTGGGTTTGCTGACCATAGGAAAGTTGCTGACCTTATTCTTAGCTCACAAATAGATTGATCTGGCGGTGTCCAAATCGAGCATACATACCACAACATCGAAAAAATGGAGGCATTTAGGATTAACGCTCTTCCAAACAAGGAAGTATAAATTGCTGCCCAAGTAATTAGCTTCGTCCGAATTTTGGCTAAAATCTCTGGAGCCATTGAGTGGTGAGGCCCTACTTCTGCTAAGGGGTCCCCCTGCCTGACCGATCTCGACATCCTATAGCTCTGCGACAGGTGACCATTCACCTGGACCTGCCCGTGTGCATCATTGTATAAGAACGGTATCCATTTCCTGAAGTTAGGTCCGGCCCCCATCCTTTCCATGCACTGTTGGAGAAAACCCCAATTCACTTGGTCATATGCCTTCTCAAAGTCGAAGAACAGTATTACCGCATTCATTCTCTTATCCTTAATGTAGCGAACTGATTCCGACAAAGTCATAACGTTGTCCAATATAAACCTGCCTGGGATAAAACCAGTCTGATCCAAATGAAAACAGCCCCTTGTAACCTTACTCAGTCTTTTAGCCAAAGCCTTCGCTGCTATCTTGTGTGTGAGCTTCAGTAAGGTAATGGGTCTGTAATTCCTTATATCTAAAGGATCCCTTTTTTTGTACAACAACGTGACAATCCCCGTGGCCGGATCTTGGCCTAGCCCCTCTGCCTTCCAGGCCTTTTCCAGGTATGCCATATATTCGCTCCCTAGGATTGGCCAATATTCAAACCAGAATTCTCTGGTCAATCCTTCTTTCCCTAGGGTCTTATTGGGTGACATTGACTTAAGTGTTTCCCACAACTCTTCCTGAGTGAGTGGGGCTTCTAGCATCATTGCCTGTGCTTTTGGCACTGACCTTTCTAGGTGGGCTAAGAACTTTGATTTGCCTTGCACCTGCTGTTGCAAATGGTCCGACTCCCTAGAAGTATATAAAGTGCTATAGAGTTGTTCAGCCACTGCAACCATGTCATCGATGTTTGAAGTCGTTCTATTACTAAGCTTCTGACTTTTGCCTTAATTTTCTGAAAGAAGTATTTAGTCGTTCTTTCTCCTTAATCACTCTTCTTGACTCTTGCCCTCATCTGTAGCCCCCTGCTCCTCCAACGCTCCCATGCTCCCAATTCCTCTCTTGCTGCATGTCAGATTCTTTCATACAAGTCTGTCGCTGGATTCTTAACTAGGGTACTATTTGCTATTCGCAATGCTTGCTGAAGCTCAGCTTCCCGTGCTTTCCTTTTAGTCCCTAGGTGCCTAGCCACTGCCGCCGAAGCTCGACTCATAGCGTTCAGGAGTTCTGGGAAGGATTGATTCCGAGTCATAGTTGAGGCAAGACTGCAAAATGACCTGTCTCATTTCATGGGTTTGAAGAGTCGAATTATTTACCGTATAAAATCCTTTACCCCTCCTGACTTGCTTATCTGTGGACAAATAGTGAAAAATAGGCTTATGGTCCAATCCACTAAAATAAGGAAGGTCACCTATACCCACTGAATGGTTCATTCCTATGACTGTCTGTGAGATCAAGAAGCAGTCTATTCTCGATGCCGAGACGTGTTGACTCATATTCCTCTTATAGTAGGTAATCTGTCTCTCCTCCAGATAGTACAATCTGTATGGATCAATTAAATCAAAAGCGGTCATCATGTTATGAATTGGACGTGCCTCTTCTCCTAATGAGCTCTCACCCGTGCATCCAATGCGGCATTCCAATCTCTTGCTAATGTAATATGCCTGTTGGGTTCTATTAAGGCTTCTAATTCCTGTAAAAGTTGTACTCTTGGCTGGATACTAGAGTGAAGCACTTTTCCCGGAAAAGAAAGTTCAACTTCACCCATCTACCTTCTTTGTAATCCACCCTCACTTCTCCTATCTTTAGTTTCTTCGCTGAGAGGGCCCTCTTATTTTGAAGAATCGCCACCCCTGCCGAATGTGGTCGTGGTGCCGGTGCCCAGAAGTCCGCTGCCACCCATCTCAATCTTTGTAAAATCTTATTCTTGACTTGCACATGTTCGTCTGAAGTAGTCAAGTGAGTTTCTTGTAAGCACACGAAGTCTGGCGGACTCTGATCAAACCATCCTGAGTACTGGACAAAGTTGTTCCACTTGTCCGGGTTGTCCAACATATGCACCAACCCGTTTATATTCCAGGAGATTACTCTGAATTCAGGCTCCTTCCTCGGCTGTGCCTGTACTTTTCTTCTACGCTTCCCCTGATGGCCTCCTTCTCTGTCCTGCATTGCGAATTGTCATCCCTTGTCCGCCCTTCTTTCATTGAGAAGTGTTCAGGACCCTGTCTCTGAAATATCCAACCTTGTTGCTCCCCTTGCTATCCTCTTCTCAATGTATTCTGGCTTCCACGAAAAGGCATCAGTTTTTACTACTAACGCTGCACTTCTGGCCACCCATTCTGTCGCCACCAACCCCCCTAACAATCCGTAGGGAATGGTCTCCACCACCTGCCATGGCATCCATTTCAGGCCGTCACTCAACTTCGCCGTTTCCTGCAGCCTGAACATTATTGGCCTGTAATCCTCTGCCAGTACTGGGCCCGTTGTGTCTGCACTTTCCTCCTTTTCCTGCTTCCAGTCCCCTATCACATATGTGTGGGCTGGCAGATCTTCAGGGCCTGACCTGAGCAGTTGGCCTCATCTATCGTGACCAGCGCCAGCGAGCGATGGATTGCCACCTCCCACTCCTTGTGGACTCCATTCCACTTGAAGGGGATGATTACCGTGCGTCTGGGTGAGTTTCTGGCATATAGTCTCGTCGCTGCTTCAATTTCCCTATGTGGCGCATAAGCTATCTTTTCCAAATTCGTTGTATCTTCACCCAGTTCACGATTCTGGTCTTTGAGGACATTCATCTGAGCCTCCAAAATCGCTGTGTGTCTGTGTCCGTCCTCCATTAGTTCTTAATCTGAGCCTCCAAAATCGCTTGCTCTCGGTTCTCTTCATTGCTTTTGGCAGGTAGGTCTTTGGTCATTCAAACTGCTTACTGTAGACCTCATTTCTCACCTGAATGTCATTGTTGTGATGTTCAGCTTTCCAGCGATATTGCTTTGCATAAAACTCATTTATCTCCTTCTCCTTTTTCAATATCTCAAAGCGATTCGTGGTAATGATGCCCTCCGTTGCTGTTGTGGCTTCCTTCAAGTTACGCAAGTGTTTATACCGTGCCAGTCGAACCTCACATTCCACCGTCCTCTCCCACTCTATCGCCTGCACGCACTTGATCCATCTTTCTAGTGTCTCAGGTTCTTCCTCCTCATCATCCTCCGCATCCTCCCATCCATCCTCGCTTGAACTCTCCTCCGAATCTTCTCCTTCCTCTCCTTCCCCCCCTTCTCCTTCTCCTCTGGGTCTCGTAGCGGAACTGGCAGATTTCCCTTCAGAAATTCCGTCTCATTGCCTGTGCCCCCCTCATCTTGGCCCGCTGCTTCTTCCATTTCCTGCTCTTTTGATGGAGTCTTCCCACTTTCCTCTTGCTGTGAAATGTCCATTTGCTCCCCCAAAGGGCTGGAAACCCCTGTCCCGCCCTGTTCTGTCTCCATCTCCTGATCCTGGCCCCCCGGCCTCTGCTGAGTATCCCTTATGACCTTGATTCCTTTGGATTGCCCCCTCTTGGTTCCCTGTTCCTCTTGCTTACTCTGTTCCGACTCGCTCGACTCCTTTGTCCTAGCTTTCCGTTTGAGTGAGGTAGCCGTGCTGCTCTGTTTAGTTGACCCTCCCTGTCCTTTCCCACATTCCCCGCCTTCAGATCCGTTCTCCTGGTCGTGATTCTGTGCTTCGCTTTGTGATTCCTCCCTTGCTTTTGAGTTTTCGAAATATGCTGCTTCTGCTGTCCTGCCAATCTGATTAAGCTCTTCCATTGTTCTCAATCTTTGCTTATCATCCAACAGCATCGTTTTGTCAATCATTGGCTGTTCTATTTCTGCGCTCTGCTAGTTTTTTGCAGTCTTTCAGGACATCCGTTAAAATTGGAACGATACAGAGAAGATTGGCATGGCCTTGCACAAGGATGACACACATAATAAACTTTATCTTTCTCTCACTATCTGGAAACTCATCTCTCCCATTGGCCGCAGGTTCTCTGCTCACCTGTGCGGGTGGTCTATTCACCGAGAGTACTGCCTGTATTTGTTTACAATGCTGCTGCCGACAAAGTGGTGGATGTGAGGTAAGTTATGCTCCATTCAGAAAGCGTTGTGTCATCTTTCCCCTTCGCTGAAGTTCTACATTGGTAGCGTCCGGCACATATCACAGGAAATGAATGAACTCTTGTCTATCTAATACGTGAAGGAAAACTCGGTCCACATAAGACACTCCCAGCGGGCCGAGCAAAAATGAGCGTGCAGTAGTTGTATGGGTTGGGTGCAGTGTTCCCAGTTTTTTTCTTTTCTTTTGGCGCGGGATGCAGGCTTTTCTTTTGCCCCACTGTTGCGCGGTCGAGGTTGTCTGGCACGACTTTTCCATTTGGCTGGCGCGACTTTTCTATTTGGCCGGCGTGCTACAAGCATCTGACTGGAATCGCGTCCAGAAGGGACACTGTTTTTTTCCTTGGCTGTTTGCATGGTTTGTTTCTGTCCCCGCACATTTCCCCCGACCCTTTTTCATTTGTAAACACCGACGGCTGCAGCAGCGCGTTTTGGTTTGTGGCATGCTCTGATTGCGTTCTGCTCATCTTTGAATGGAAAAGTGTCCGTGAATATAGTTGTGCGAGGATCTGGGTCCTCGGCAGGCCTAAGGGGCCCCTGCTACAGATGTGCCCGCCCTAAGTGAAGGCGGGCCTAACAAATCATGAGAGGCCCTCGACTGTCAATTTCGTATTGGGGTCCAGGCAGTTGTGACGCGCCAGTTGGTTGAGGGAAAACACAGGCCGAGCAGCAAAGACATTCCACGGCCTTCCGGGCCTTTCCGAAGATGCAGGCCCTGGACAAGAATTGCAGCCTCATACACAGACAGTTGGGAGACCCAACTGAACGAGGCCCAGTAGCTGCATCAGAGGCGCAGCCACCTGGGGCCTACCGGAAGCTTCTGGGCCGAGGCCCAGGGCAGTCAGGCTGCGAAGGCAGGCAGGCTCTTTCCATATAGGAGAGAGCTCGCTGCCTGGAAGGGTATTCAGCACCTGCATGCTGGCGGCAGCGCTGCTGGAGCGGGCGCTCATAGGCTGCTGCTGGCGCTGAGAGGCAAGGGGCTAGCGCGTGCGGTCGTGCAGGAAGCAGGGCGATGCTGAGGGCAGCGCCATAGCCCAGCCTCCATAGCTGGATGGGCTTGGACTAGAGTGAGGCGCAGGGGTGGTCTTTGGGTGTACAGAGGGAAGACGTGGGAGTAAGTCGGGGGAGAGAGAAAAGGATGATGATGATGATGTGAGGAGACATACCTGGTATTGGCGATGGTCTGCATTGGGCGACATCTTCAAGTACTTCGTGAGCTGCTGACGTTAACAGTTGCATTGTCAATTAGTAGGCAGACTGTAGCTGTGTAGGAAGTAGGTTGGGCGCCGAGCGCCAAGTAGTGAGATAGGGCCTGGACACTCATGTTGGTGGTGGCGAGAGCAAGCTCTCATTGACATTGGTTTTCAGTGTTACGATTCTTCATTGGTGTTATATCGGTGCATTTCTGCTTTCTGGACACAGTGATAATATCTGGCCTTCAATGTGATTGTGCATTCTGGACATTGTCATCTCGCTATTGCTCATTTTCCTTGCAATTTGGTATCGGAGCTGGTTCGAACTGCGCTTCATCGACTCTTCGCAATAGCTGTTTGGTGCTTTGTATGAGGTGTGGGGCAGTAATAATGCTTGGGCGTTGAGTGATAGGCGGCCCAGGGTCATGTGGGCGCACCAGGAAGCTGTGTGGTGACATTAGGGATGTGTGTTGGATGATGAGAGCTCGCTGATGTGGCATTTAAGCCGAGGTGGAACTGCATTCTGCTGTTGGCTGTGCCGAGGCAAAGACCAGTCATCATAAATGCACATCAGGTTGCCGGTGAGAAATCTGTGGTTGGGGGCAGCATTATGAGGTACGTTGCTCTCTTCCTTATCTGCCCTGTTCATTACTTCTTACCGTGAGGAAGTGAGTTCTGTCTTGAGAGTCCTCTTAATGTGGGGTGTCACGAACGCTCAACCTTGAGAGTCGACATTCTTCTTGGGCAGCAAGCTGGTGGGAGACGGGCAATGCCTCTGAAGGGCCCTGGACGAAGCACTCGGGTCATGGTCACCATGCCAACCCGCTGGGACTAGTACACGCATGCTTTGCCGCAAGTCCTTGGTTCTACTGCTGTGCAATAGAGGTCATGCAGGGCGTGCCAGCCCTTTGAACAGACACTCGCCAGACCGTCTATAAATATTTCTGGCAGGACTCGGTGTTGAACCCTGGCTGTGATCGTCGTCCTGTCTGCGACGTTAAATAATTCCTGAGGACCTTGGGGGCTGTCCTTAAACTGCCTCTTGATCAGCCAGATCAAACCGGGTGTAAGGCTCATTGCATGTGAGGGTAAATAAAGTGCCGGGGCTGGCGGGTTCGACATAGACTTGGGGCACAGGGGTGGGCCGGATTGCACACCTTCAGACACGCCGCTCAACGAGATGCGCAGGGCGTTGACACGAAGTGACAACTCAAGAAGGATATAGGGAGACCGGGGGATTCCGGTTGTTCGCTGTTACATTAAATAGAAAAACTGCCATCCAGCATACATCTCCACAGGTAAACTGTTTTATTTTGGATTATTTAGTTGTGCGGACTTGCTGACAACTGACAGACAGCTGCAGATAGGATAGAAACTCCCTTGTTGCATTGCAATCTGTATTAGGGTAATCTAAAAATAGAACTAGTGTTACCTGTAGGATCTGACATTAGTTGTTACTCACCACTTCAACTGTTTCTCTCCAGGCCGACCGAAAATAATCGTATATCATATTCGGTTGGGTGTCACGCTGAGGTAGGGTTCAGTGTGAATTATAGTTTAGATCACACTCCATTGTAGCTCATGAGTGAAGCTGCTAGTAGTGAGGAGGAGGAGTTAGTGGAAGATCTTAGGGTCACTCGTAGAACTGCTCTCAGTCAACCTTTGACCTTCCTAGAGTTAGGTCCAGGAGAGGAAAGGAGGCTGCGGAGAGAAGCTAGGAAAGGGCGGCATTGCGGAGGACGAGGGACGTTGAGGCCAGCGCCAGAGCTAGGAGTATAGCTAGCACAGGTGCGACTATGACTACCTCTTCTACCATTTCACAGGCCTCTTCTCAGGCCTCATCATCGGGAATCAGTCAGAGTGTCTCTCAGGTTTCCATTTCCATTAGCTAGATTGTAGGCTTGCAAGTCAGCCAACAGACTCAACTCACACCAGAGGATTATGAGATCCTCCAAGCAGAAGAGCTTCATGACGAACTGCAGCGGTAGTTGAGAGAGGCAGCAGCGAGGTTGAGAAAAGCTAGACTAGGGAGTAGGAGACAGGAGTTACGCAAATTAGAAGCATTAGATAGATGACTACACACTTGATCCTGCAATGCAAGCATTGCGTAACTCGCTTCTATGTGTAGCGGAAGCGCAGGTTGTTCAGCGAGAAGTGCTGGCTGAACTAGTGGCAGGCCAAAAGCAAATTTTGGGTGCACTGCAGGCTCCTCGCCCATTAATGAGGCAGCCTCAATATGCTGTAGCTCCCCCTTCGGTTGCGGGCTCCTCAATGACGCCGTGGCCAGTAGGGTCCTCTTTCTCCCCCATGTTGGCATGACCCCTCCAGGTGGTCTAGTACCAACTAGTGGTCCAGTCCTTAGAGCTTCTACTGTACCATCCACAACGGTGGTAACTACAATCCCATTGTCAGGATAGGCCCAGGTTAGCGTGCAGCAACCTGTCTCAGTGGCCATGCAGCCACTGCAGCAGTCACCTGGGCCAATCCAGTCTATGCAATGGATGGGCCCTTCTCTGGCAACAGGAAGAAGTACGAGGACCTGGACACGTGGATGAGGATTGTGCCCACTTATGTGAGGCACAAGCTCACCAGGCCAGAGCAGGCGGTCATAGTGGCTGCCTCCTTTTTAGAGGGATCGACGACACGTTGGTTAAAGGGGTTAGTGCAACAACAGGGTTATGGTCAGAACTTCGATGCCTGGGCTCAGGCCCAGACATTGGAAGAGTTCATGCGAACTGTGTGCAACAAGTGGCATGACCCCCAAGGGGCTCGATTCTTAGGCTGCATTCACCCCCTCTGAGACCATCGCACTTTTAGTGGTTCAGCGACATGACATTATCTTGTGACATATTGCTCTTCTCCTTTCAGCACTGAGGCCACTGCCTCCAGGACTTTAGGAGTGTATCATACTACATTTCATTTTCTGCTGTTAGCTAGGATATGTATACCAGACATTTGCTTTTCTTTTGACATTATATAGCGTAGGATGCATCGCATGGACTCTGCATGGAGCTTGCTCCGCATCCTAGATTTCTCAGCTTTCTTTATTGCAGAGTTCCGCTGCTTTTGCGGATAGCGTGTTTATGGCTCTTGCRATCCATTASAGGYYTGAGGATCGTGCARCGGGCCTTCATCTGCCCTGGCCCACAGCCAGGGCCTATTTGGCTATTTGCCAGTCCGGCCTGTGGGACCAGGCCGTGGCCTGACCCCACAGGCCGTGCGGTTATTCAGTCCAGTCCAGTCCTGCCCGGTACCACTGTCGGTACCAGTCCAGTCCAGTCCAGTCCAGCCAGTGCGCTGGGGGTATACCCCAGCTGCAGTCTGTTTTGTGGCGCATTCTTCATTTGCACAGATTGGAGTACGTGCGCGTTGAGTCTGCGTTGGAGCTGCGCTGTCCCTTCCAGCTCCATCTCCATCTCCCCCATACTCATCCCTTCGTCTTGATCCTGACGGACCGCCATCCCGGCGGGTCCGTCACACCATAGTTTGGGAAGTCGTCAATTTCAGTCGCCTGACCATCATGGTCGACAAACATAAGCTGACCTTTCTTTTTCCACTCCTAGGGAAGTCTCTTCTTCTTGCCATCTGCTTGGCCCTAATGCGTGCAGGTAGCGAAACAAAACCAATGACCCTAACAGATAGACTATCAAGGCGGGTAATGCTCGACAAGGGTGACACCATGCAGGGTCGATCATGAAAAGGGGGAGCCTGGAATAGGGTGGAGATATGCCTAACTGAAGGCATGCAAGGGCCGGCACTAGGGTGATGAG